ACTACATCCTCACCACCTACATCAGCTACCTGCTGCTCATTCTCTTCGGTCACGCCCGCGACTTCTTTGGCAAGCGCTTCGGCGACAAGAAGCACTACCAGGCTCTCAAGCCCCAAAATGGATACGCTCCCTTGAACGAGGACTTTGACAACTTTTACGTTCGCCGTCTGAAGATGCGCATTGACGACTGCTTCGCACGACCCATTACCGGCGTTCCCGGCCGCTACATTACCCTCATGGATCGCGAGTCTAGAGACTACAACAGAACCTACAACTACACTGGCACACACACCGAGACATTGAACATGAGCTCTTACAACTACCTCGGTTTCGCGCAGTCGGAGGGCCCTTGTGCCGATGCTGTCGAGGAATGCGTCAAGAGATACTCCCTCAGCACTTGCAGCCCACGCGCTGATGTCGGTACTTCGGACTTGGCTCTCGAGGTCGAGAAGGAAATCGCCAGCTTCGTCGGCAAGCCCGCTTCCATGGTCTTCTCCATGGGTTTCGTCACCAACGCCAGCTCATTCCCCGCTCTCGTCTCCAAGGGTTGCCTCATTCTCTCTGACGAGCTCAACCACGCTTCCATCAGAGTCGGTGCTCGTCTGTCCGGTGCGGTCATCTCATCCTTCAAGCACAACGATGTCGTCGATCTCGAGCGCAAGCTTCGTGAGGCCATTTCTCAGGGCCAGCCCCGCACTCACCGCCCTTGGAAGAAGATCCTGGTTGCCGTCGAAGGTCTGTACTCTATGGAGGGCACCATGTGCGATCTCCCCGGTGTCATGGCATTGAAGGACAAGTACAAGTTCTACCTCTTCATTGATGAGGCTCACAGCATTGGCGCTGTCGGACCCCGTGGCCGCGGAGTCTGCGACTACTACGGTATCGACCCCGCCCGCGTCGACATTCTCATGGGCACTCTTACCAAGTCTTTCGGTGCCAACGGTGGTTACGTCGCCGCTGACAAGAGCATCATCGACAAGCTCCGTAGCTCCAACGCCGCGACCACTCTCGGCGAGTCGCCTGCTCCTTCCGTCCTCATGCAGATTCTGGCCTCTCTCCGCTTGATCACCGGCGAGCTCTGCCCCGGCCAGGGTGCTGAGCGCCTGGAACGTATTGCCTTCAACTCTCGCTACCTCCGTCTTGGTCTTAAGCGCCTCGGTCTCATCGTCTACGGTCACGATGATTCCCCCATTATCCCCGTCATGCTCTACAACCCCGGAAAGATGCCCGCCTTCAGTCACGCCATGCTCAAGCGCAAGATTTCCGTCGTTATTGTCGGCTACCCCGCAACGCCTCTTATTAGCTCGCGTGTCCGATTCTGCGTCTCCTCAGCCCACAACAAGGAGGATCTTGACAGACTCCTGGCTGCCGTTGACGAAGTTGCCGATCAACTTCAGATCAGATTCTCCACTGGTATTGCTGGTGGCCAGGAGCCTCTTCCCGAAGGTATCACTCCCGAGACGGAAGCTGAGTGGCGCAAGGCAAACGGCACCGAGGGCATGTACAAGGCTCCCCGCTGGAAGCTCGAGGACGTCATCGCTCGTGGAGTCCAAGATGCCAAGCTGCGCCTTCGGTAAAGCAAGAGTCATTTCAAATTAGAGTTGGAAAAGAAAAGATTCACGACTGTTCAGACCTTTGGGTCTGGCGATTGACGAGACGCGGACTGGACGGAACGATGAGGCAACGTCTAGGGTGGAAGAGGGAGTTTGGTGCCCTGTGTTCAATTCTGCCGGCTTCGACCTGTTTGCATGATACCTGTGATATCAACTGTCGAGTGTCTATTATACCTTGATTGGGGAGCCTGCATGGCCTTGGCGTTTTTGGGAGTAATGATCGGAACAGCGAACGAATTCATGTGCCACGGCACCGTACCAACATAACTAGTAGTATTAGGCTCCCATGAGCTGAACAATATAGACGACAACTAAGGTACCTTAGAGTAATGCACATATCCTCATTGGAGATTATATACAAACTTTGCAATACGTGTGCCCGTGCCGGTGATGTCGAGGGGATACCTGTCGATCCCCTGTTTGTAGCCTGTGCATGATGTTCAAGTATACGGTACCTAAAGGCTGGTGGAAATGCTTATGGATAACGTTAAAGTAATGGGACATTTGAACACTCAAATCTGCAGCCGTAATCAGACAACACGATGGCCTGCTTGGGAAACAGTACGTATGATGTTGACGGGTGCGTTTCCATATCACCTGCCTCTCTATCGCCTGGTAAGGGGCCGGACAGAGGTGCTACCTCAACTAAGGTATGCCGCATTCGCCTAGATAGTGTCATTGTGGGTGAGCGTTCCTTCATAAGCCAGCTCCATCGATTCACAGACAAGATTGGATTAGACGTCAGGTCCCCTCTTTTTTTACAGGTAAGACGGGAAGTAGAACTGTGAATATCCAAAAGAAAGACGACGGCGTATATGCAGGAAGAAAGGCTCCACTACTGGAAGCTTAGGTATATGAGGAAACTATTCTCGTCCTCTTAGCACCATCGGATGAGGAGATTGATGACGCAGAAGCTGCGACTGATCACTTTCAACCACACACACAAAGGAACTCGACCCCCGGTGGCGTATTCTTCTTTGATGGGTTCGGGGCTGGAGTCGTCCTATAGGCACCTTATGTCCTATCTCTCAAGTTACACGAGAACTATGGCTTGTGCTTGATCTGAGGCTTTGAGGTGGAGAGCCGCAATGAGATATCTCAGAGCAACCGAAGATCAGAATCCATTGGTAGTATTCATATTACTATTGGGATTTAGAAGAACGGAAACGGTAAACATATATTCGATTGTAGCTGAAAAGGCCCCTCTTGCAACGGTATCATAGAGAATTTTATCTCTATCGTGGGTAAGTAGCTTGGTAGGAATACTACCGCCTCGATCTCTGCATGTTCAAGGTCCAAGTGAGAGAATACGTCTTTGCGTATAGGATCAGGAATTTTCACAGGGGATTCAAATAGCTCATCGAAGCGAGGCAGGCAAATACACCTGCGTTTACGCAGTCGCAGCCCCAGTCTCACTGAACGAATCTCGGTCTTCCGAAAGTTGACCACACCGAGTCACGATATTGCATTCCGTTGGAACTCCCGTCTCTAATTTTTGCGCAGGATAGCCACTCCCTAATCAATAGCAGCGAGGATGAATAGTTCACGAGGACAACAGCTACTCCTATAGCCGTCCGTCTCTAACAAGGGAAGCGAAAACAACATCACTTGACTGATTGGCACGGATCTGACAACTCCATTCTCACATCTTCCTACTCGAACACACCCTTTTGATTTGTGCTCGTATATTGCAGGTCGGCAACCGTTTGCCGCGCGTATACCTGGCAAACTGATCTACTTGTACCCCTCCCCTGAGAGATCCGGATGAAGCGTATTCCTCCCCTGTTTTGCGAACCAGCCAAAACCCCCTCCCAACTTTCCATCCTCTTCACCAAAGACAAGAAAGCCAAGCCCCCCTTCCGAGCTCAAAATCCATGGCCTTGGGAACAGCGCCGTAGCTCTTTACTTACGAAGCCGAGAAGCCGCTGCCAACTTCCGCCATGAACCGTTCAGCTTCAGTAATTTACTTGCCGCACCTACAAGTCTCATATTAGTACCCTTTTCCCCCTTCAAAGATCACGTCTAGCGGGGGAGTGTTCTTTTCAAGAAACGTACTCAGTGCGAGAGTTGCCGGTGGTCTGGCTGATGCACTCCGCAGGCCACGTGGAGCCGCCGTCGCACTTGGAAGGGCATCCGCCGGCGCCGAGACCGCTGTCAATCACCTGTTGTCGAACCCCAAGTCAGTACGAATTTGGTACTCAAATCATTGAGAGTGTGGGGGGGTTTGATGGAAGGAAAGGGGTGTTGGGTGGATGGTGAACGTACACAGCAGTGGCTTCCGTTCTTGTACTTGCACTGGTACCAACCGGCGCAGGCCTCGGTGGTGGCGAAGAAGGCTAGGAAGGTGACGGCGGCGGAGATGATGCGGACCATTTTGAAGAGGATTGGGTTGTTGGTTTGGGGATGGTGATGAAGGTAAAGGAGGATGTTGTTGTGAAGTGAAGCTGGTGTTTGTTCTAGGTTGATGATTGTTTGAAGAAAGGGGAAGAGGTAGCTGTATTTATATTCGATCGAGACTCATAGAAGATGGATATATCCCCCAAAAATGCCTTCTGTTCTCCTCAAAGTCGCCGGTTTGTTCATCCACCGATATTCTCGAAAGGAGGCATTTGCCGCCCATTTCTTCAGTGGGATACCCTCAAACCTTGCGGGATGCGTAACAGGCTGAACGGTAATGAAGGGATACGGAACTCAATCCTCATGACTTGTGTCAGTAATGGAGCCAACTTCGGCCTCTTTCTGTGTCTATACTCCACATCACTCCTTAGGCAGTCATCATGAAGAGTGTACAGCCTCTAGGAAATCAGCTTGTCGAAATCTCCGCCCACCTCTGAACGAGGCGTAACTCCGTGTTCCGGCTCGGTGTAAGGAACTCTGCCACATTACCCGGAAGCCGCCCACATGACTTGGGAAAGACGGTGAAGGCTGATGCTGTATCAATGTAAATTGGCCTCCATGTTGACTCCATCGCGAAGTCTTGGCGGTTATAACAGGAGATACTGCGGGCTGGTGTGAGAGGGGCGAGGCTCCGGTGTCGGGTCCAACCAATTTTCCAAAGCGGTCCCCGAGTGCCCCGATAGCACGGGGTAACAGGGTACAGAAGAGATCTACAACAGGAAGGGCGGAGTCTCCCTTGGTTCTAGAAGAAGTCTAAGTCAAATTGACATGAAAGTTAAGTTGGCATGAGTGGGTTCACGATGCTGTCAAAGTACCCGGGGCCTTGGTATTGCTTAACTCTCCGGTCAAGCTTTTGTAGTACAACGCCAATTTACAATCAATATAATTAACAACTTCCTGATTGACGATCGTGGGTACTGTTGCCACTTTTGGATTGGAATGTTGTTCGGGGCAGGCAAAAGATAAAATAAAAAATATACATCAATTCCTTCACAAACCTTCCTGGACAAGTCGGACAGAAATGGCCACCCCATCAATACCATCTCCCCCTTCAACCTCAACCCAAACCTTTCCCCCCTCAAACCTCGCCTTAGCTCCATCACGCCCACGATACACAACACTCCCACCAACATCAACAACCACATCCCTCGCCCTCACAGGAACACCAACAACGCCCTTGGTGCCCCTCGCAGCCCACACCACAATTCTAAACTGCACTTCCTCACCCTTGCCCAAATCCTCCCACTCAACCCGGATCCCCTCCCCCTCAGGCGTCGGCACAACACCCCTCGCCCACTTCAACCCGCTCACCTCGGGAACAATACTCCACGTCCGGAACCCGGGCCCCGTAGGCCTCACCCCGAGAACATGTCCGCTCATGAGCGGCACAACCCCCGTAGACCACCCGTGCGCCATACTCGTGAACCCGTCCTCGTACGGCCGTCCGTCCGGCCCCCCGATCCCCTCCCAAGACGTCACCCCGGGATCCTGCCCCGCCATCCACCCGTACAACCTCCGCATCTCCTCCACCGCCGTCTCCCCGACCCCGGACGCGAACCGCGCCGCCATCTCAAAGTAGGAGATGAAGGCGTACACCCGCTGACTGAACCCCTGCCCGACGGCATCCGAGTCGTAAAATGCGTTGCCGTAGGTCCTCGACGCCGTGCCGGCGTAGTACGCCAGGATTCCCCTCGCCGTACTCGTGTCCACCACGCCGCCCGCGAGAATGGCGAGACTATTCCCGTCCTGCGCGTGCGCCGCCACAAATTCCCCATTGCCGTCTGTCCCGTCCCAGAACGCACCCCTCGCCGCGTCAAAGTTGCGCCTGGCCAGCGTGGAGGCGACATCGTCTGCCCTCGCTACCCACCGCTCCGCATCCCCCTTCTTGCCGATTTCCACCGCCATCTCCGCGGCCCGCCGCAATGCGAGGACGTAGAGCGCGTTGTAGTACGTCACTGGCCCCTGTCTCGGCAGGAAAGCGTAGTCGCCGTAGCCCGAGGTTCCGTTGAGTCCCTTTGTCACGAGCCCGGTGTCCGGGTCCGTGACGGAGACGTACCATCCGTCTAGAACGGCCACGAGGTTGGCGTAGTAATTTGAGATGTACTCCACGTCGCCCGTGTACCAGACGTAGTCGTGGCTGCAGACGACCCACCAGAGGGGGTAGTCGAAGAGGGGAAGCGTGTAGTTCATACTTTATATCCCGTCCCAAGCATTAGTTTCCACATGACATGGCTTAAAGCAGCGTCTAGTACAAATAGAAAGATGAAGGGGAGAAGATGGATAAAACTCACATGCTCGCCGGCGGAATCCACCCATCACTCCTCTGATGAACCGCCAAATCCACCAACACATTCCTACTCGCCTCGCTCAACGTCCCCTTTCCGTGCGAAACGTACCCCGTCAGCGCCGCGACCGCCAAATCCCCAACATACGGATCCCGATCCCGCTTCGGCGCGTCGTGCAGCACAATCTTGCCCTCGAGCGTCTCGCTCGCCGCGCCCCGGGGCTCCGCATCCTCGGCGCCGCGGAACGTATCAACGCACAGATCGTTGGTGTACACCCCGTCGAACCACCACCGCGTCAGCTCCTCGTCGCTGCACTCAAACCACCCCCTGAAAGTGTCGGGCGTGCCGTGGTAGGCCGAGAGAGCCAGGGACAGCGACGAGATGTTGACTTGGCCTTGTGGGGTTGTGTGCGGCGCGTCTGAGGAGAGGGCGTCGAGGTAGATGCGGAGGTAGCGGAAGCCGTGGAGTCCATCTGCGCAGACTTGGCCTTTGCCTTGTTCGTTGGGATACTGACATCCGTGTTTGACGGTCCAGGTGTAGGTGTCCTTGGCGACTGCGATTTGGTCGCTACCCGGGGTGATTGTGTCACCGTTGTAGGAGCGGGAGAAGTCGCTAACGTTGCTCAGGAACTGCAGCGTCTCGGAGAAGGCTAGTCTGATACCCGGCCTGCTGCTGCTGTCCTCTTGGTCTTTTCTCTCATCGTTTTCGTGACCCACGGGTCTAGAAGTAGACGAAGACGAAGACCCAGCAAAGGAAATGGAAATAATACCCACAGTATTCTGTCCAAAATCAACCGTTACGGAGGGAGCCTCATCCCCTGCCGAGTCACGAGTAAAGATTGTGGGCCCGCCTTGGCCGTTGATTAAGCCCGATGGGTTGGCGACGTCGCCGCGCGTGAGGTCGGGAATCACCCGTGCAGGATAAATCGTGCTGGACTCACTCGCCCGGACATATTGGTGCCAGCTGGGCACCTCCTCATAGCGAATAGACTCGTCGCGAGGCGTGCGGCTGCTTCTCCAATGTGGGTTTATGAGATCCCATTGACCGGTAACGAATGCAAAGAGGCCTGCCCATAAATTCGGCATCACGGCTTCGTCATGGGTGGGGGGAGCGAGCTTGTCAATGACGTAGGCTGGTTGATGATGTGTCTGATCAACGAGTGAGTGAAGGTGCGAAACAGCAAGGAGAAAATGAATGAGAAATGGGCTGTGATGAAAGTTGATGGATGAGTAGGAGGTTGAGTGAACCTACGAATCGAGGAAGACTGAGGTCGGTGCGGGTGGGAATGCGGAATGCGGGGTCCCGCCCGGCGCTTCCCCAGATCGGATGATCTACGAACGGCATTTGGCTGGAGGCTGAATCCACAATCCCGGCACATTGCGGATCGCGGCCGACGACAGGGACCTGCAACTTGACCTTGAGCCAGTCTCCGTTCCACCGAGTACATGCTGCATGAAATTGTAGGTTTTCGAGACTTGTGTTAACGTCCGTTGGGATTGGGTCGAGTCACGTTCATCTTCGTACATGTCACATTGTCGTTGTCTTCACAGTTGCAACAAGAATCCCTGGTAACTTCAAGACAGACAACCAAATGGTATTAGACAGCACTGCGTCTCATCTGCCTCTATCGCCTCAATGCCACACCAGCGGCGCGAATAATGACCCCAATGCAAAGTGTTCATGTCAATGCCACGACGCTCAGCGTGTCTCTAAACAAAAGGAAGAAGAGAAGAAAAAAACAAGGGTGTCGAGGTAGCGAAAGACACTCCCCTGTGAAGACCTTGGTATGTCCACGCATCTCAAAAAGAAGTAATAACTGCGAAATGCATACGCGCGCGCAAAGTATCCATGGCGCTAAGGTTCATATCAGCGACCATGTTTCAATGTGTCGTCCATCAATCCGTAAACCTTCTCAATCCCACCGTCTGTACCAGGACGCCGTCAAAAAGCCAAGAAAGGTATTGTACACTTTCGCTGTCTGTTAAACATGATGATCGTAAAGAGGCCTTACACAGTGCCTCGAAGTCTTTGCTTGCGTGCTAGCCAGTCGCCAAGCATGTTGTCAAGTTGCTATCCAATAGTCAGTCCGAAAGCTCAGGTAACCTTTCCGTAAATCTCGACTCACTGTTGTGATTTCCGCCAACTTGGCATTCTGTTCGCGGAACAAAGAGCCTGCGACGGGGTGTTCCGGTCCAGCAGGCGCCACATCGCTCTTGTCGTACACAACAACCAGCATATCTCGGATATCCGAGCTCGAATCGAAAAATGCCCGAAGCTTCGCATCATTCCAGCTGCTACCGGTAGTACTGCCACCCGTGGATGTTGAGCTGGCAGTCATCGAATCTTGAGCGCGATGTCTGCCTGCCTCCTCAGCATCAATGAGTTCTGGCGACGGCGATGTCGAGTGGCCTTCTTGGCTGGAAGTGTCCACCATGAGCGCAGGAGGGTTGTGCGAAGTGACCGGAGACACTTGCACGGGAGATTCGGAAAGTCTGTCCTTTTCGCGTTCCACAGCGGTGGGCTGAGGCTGAGGTTGTTGAGCTTGCGTAGGAGTGATTGTCTTGTCGGTCTGAGCGCTGGCAGCACTCAAGTTGCTCATATAGCTGTCAGGGAATGCGCCAGGCAAAGGCCGTTCCAATTTCTCTTCCTTGACAATCTGTTGTGCCTGCTGCTGCACGGGTGGCTCGGCAGTCTCAACCTCCTCCCCAGAAGAGTCAAAGTCATCAAGCTCAACTCGAGACTTCGCCTTGGTGACCTTTTGCGGCTTGGGTTCACTATTGCCACTCCTCGATGGGATGATCTTGGACAGGGTCGACTTTTCTTGGGGTGCTGACCGAGTCGTCTCAGGAGACTTGATCCGCTGCTGTTGAACAGAGAGCTCTGGATCCGAAGAATCGTCCTCCACAATGCGCATGGAAGCAGGAGGCACGTTCGAGACGTTATTAGGGCGGCCCTCGGAGGATATGAATTCGGAGAGCTCCCTCGTAGCAGACTTCTGTGGCGTTGCAGCCCCGTTGATCCTCGCAGGAGACGGTTCGACTCTCGGCTGTTGCTTCTGGAGCTTGCTTGTGCTTCGTTGGGGACCATCGCCTCTCGGAGACAATGGTTCCTTGGGCTCCTCTTCCCGACTCTCGCGGCTCTCGCGACTCTCGCGGTCCTGGGATTCTGTAACGATATCCATCGATCTCTTTCCAAATGACTCGTCGTCCTCGTCCGTGGTCTTCTTCTTATCCTTACGCGAGAAGAAACTCCGAATGGTGCTCGTCTTCTTCTCCTTCTCCTTCTTATCCTTCTTCTTCTTGTCTTCCTTCTTATCCGGCTGCAGCTCCTTGTCCATCTTGTCCAAACTTGGCCGTTGCTTGACTTGGACGCTTTCCGTTGTCGAGGGTCGCGAGCCGCTGTCGTCACGAAGCAAGTTAGGCGTAAGCGTGATCTTCTTGGTCTCGACCGTTTCGTCCTTAAAGAAAGAGTCGGTGTTCCTGACGGTGCCGTTCCTCGACCTGCTGGGACCTTCTGGTTTCTCAAAGATTTCGCCACTGTCGCGTTTGGAGTCATCCTCGGATGCCTCCTCTTTCTTCGTCGGTTCCGCAGCGTTGACCTCCTTCGTTGTCCTTGGCTTGAGAGGCTCAACCTTGGCCGTGTCGTCGTCCATCGTTTCTTCTGTTGACTGTTGTGACGTTTGTTGTTGCTGCTGTTGTTGCTGTTGCTGCTGCTGCTGTTGAGCACCCTGTTGTTGAGAGAAAAGCTCATCAACTTCGTCCTCGTCCGAGGAGTAATCATAGTCAGAGTAATCGACGAAAGTCGGGGCGGCGAACGCGACCGTCTTCTTCTTCTTCCTGAGAGCAGTCTTGAAGGTGCTCTTGGACTTTTCCCCAGACTGATCTCCGAGCATTGTAGCGGAAAGCTGATCTAAGTCAGAAAGGTTCATCTCTTCCATGGAGGGAGCGACTACGTCTATATTCCTGTGCTTGTTCAAGCGCGCCAGTCTCTCGGTCGGCGTCTCAATGTGCTCTGCCGGCAGGTAGCCTATTGTTCATGTAAGGAGCTGCTCTTTGAACAACGCTCAAAGGGGTCTTACCAATGCTGCTGTCCTTAACCACACGGACCAACCACCAGTAGCTGTTGCTGTCATCCAGTAACACCATGGTGTCACCCTTGGTGGCATTTGCTTGGCCCTCGACGGTTGCGACAAAGGTATGTAACGCGTAGACGAATTCGAAATCGATGTCCTCTGCTTCGTGTAAGCACTCATTGCCCCAGCCACAGGCAATAAATCTAGAATCAACAAGAGAAAGATCGCCGTCATCATCATCTTCTTCATCAATAGAGGGTTCGTATGGAATCGTAAGCGGGATGCCGTCGTCGTCGAGTCCACCAACTGCCTCGTCTCTTTCTGCCCTGTCCATCTCTGCACGCCGCTGCGCGAAGTTGTCGTACACCGGTCCTCCAGCTTTACGCACGCGAAGCGGACGAACCACAATGGGCCCATGCTGTGCAACACTCTCCAGGTCAAACTTCGCTGCGTGGTTGCTGCTGTTTTCTTCCTGCCAGTCAAGTCCATCATAGCATTCATCGCCGTATTGTTCGTCGTCAAAGTATTCGTCGGCATACTGTTCCTCGTCGAGTCGATCGTCGTCGTCGGTCGTATTGCGATCCTATTCGGTATACTCACCGCGAAGATGATGATAGGTTGACGTCTTGGCAGATGCCTTGCTATGCTGCCAAGAGAGGTGTGCTGGAAGGTATTCAAGGGATTCGGTATAAGGAGAAGAGGGCCTTGCCTCGCTGAACGAAAGGGAAACGGGGGAGGCGCGATCTCTCATGGCGGGTAGAGAGTCGACTCTACGCGGCCATGATTGCGGAGGCATAATCGAAGTGTACCCACCATCTTCAATCGAGGGCGAACTCGAGATCTTGTCCATCATGTCGTCGTCGTCCATGCTCTCGTCGGTGTCGTCCATGTTTCCGTCGTCCGAAACACCTCCATTTTGTGCGACAGCTAGCGCATCTTGCTGTTGTTTCTTGCTCGCGTCGTCCATTGTGCTCCCAGTGAGCTTCCTCGAAACCTCTCCCGCAAGATCGTCTTCGTCGGAGATGTCGTCGTCGTCGGCGTTGGTCCAGGATAGCCTCGGGCTGCGCGCTTGATCTTCGGCGGATTCCTGGGCGACTTCTCGAAGAGTCTCGGCCTGGTGCGGACCAAATGAGCCGTTGGGCGCCCTGCTGTGGTCTTTCGCTGAGGGTGCGTCGGGGTTTTGCAGATCGATGGTGTCTATGAATGCGACAGAAGAGGCCAATGGTCAGCGCGACATGTCAAGCAAAGAAACAAAGCTGCAGAGTATTTTTTTTTCTTCCCCTTCCTCTTGCTCTGGCCAAAGGGGGGTGGGAGGAATTCTGTGAAATTGATCGTCCGCGGTTCCAGCCGTTAGACCAAGACGGGTTCAGGCTAGAGCTCAGACACAGAAAACCCAGAGCCAAGTAGGAAAGGGGGAGTTTTGTGTTTGGGGGGAGAAATTATGTGGTGCGACAGGAGGAATGGGCAGCAGGCGCAGGCGCGGTTGTTTGGGGGTCGCATAAACTTACCAGCGCGAATAATATGAGGTCTCGTCATGTTGGATCAGGTCGTGGGCCAGCACAGCCAGCCGAGACGGTTGTGGGAATTGTGATTTTGTGACGGGACTGCTCGAGTCGTGAGGGTGGTATGTTGTGGTGCGGCGTATGGATACACAGTAGAGTGTGCAGTGCAGACAAGAGGTCGTTCTGTTCACAGCTCCGTCTGGATTATTTTTCCTTTGCGCTTGACGAGCCAACCCCCTTTGGACCCGTCAGTTGGTAAGTTGGAGAGACCCTGGTCGGCAGACGACGTATGGTGGACGGTTCGGAAGTGTATCATGGAGCGAGGGTGCCAAAAAAAAAAAGCTGGGGCGGTTGGCAATTGCCAAGAGAATGGGATGGGCGAAGCGTATGCGTAGCGTGGTCTGGTGTGGTCTGGTCTGGAGAAGGGAGGTGGGAATAATTGTGTGTGACAGCAGCAGAGGTAGAGTAGGCGTCGGCGCTGGGCGTTGAACGGGGGTCGAAATTGCGACTC